AGTTATAGGGTCACGCACAAATTTATATAGATTGTTAAATTCTAATGTCCTACGGGTAGAACCGTACATAACTGATAGAGTGTTATGAAGGAAAGTTTATATGTGATAAAGAACAACATCCCAGTGGGCAACAGCACCTCGAGTCGACATCGTATATTGGTCGTTTTTAGAACATAACGTCGATTGATGTGATTTGGACGTCCGTGCGACATCAATCAACAAATGTTGGGAGACATGTGATTTGAGAGAAATGTCACCTCGACATCGACAAGAAATCAAATATTGACCACTTTTTGTTTTTAGTTAAAATGAACTTTGTATTAATTTGTTGTCTTCTTATGTTAATTATGTTCATTATGTTATCTTCAATAAATACATAATAAATAGCTATGCTTACGTCATGTGTTCATCGTTGAGCAAACGTGCAAAGCATTATGGGTACAAGGTCTCGACAGCAGAAATCAAAGAATCAGGAAAGCAACCGGCAGTTAGATGCGATATGATATGACTACTAGGCACTTTAATTTAATTTAATATTTTTTTTTTTTAGGGTTAGGGTTAGGGTTTAGGTTAGGTATAGGGTTTAGGTTAGGTTAGGGTTAGGGTTTAGGTTAGGTATAGGGTTTAGGTTAGGTTAGGGTTAGGGTTAGGGGTTGTTTTTTTTTTAAGTGCCTAGTAGTCATATCCTAAGTGCCTAGTAGTCATATCATATCGCATCTAACTGCCGGGTGCTCAAGAAACCAGACAGGCATAATTATGAATCCAGCTAATCCATCGAATATACACAGTATCAGTGTTTAAAAAAACGTACAAGTTATATATTTTGAATATGAAATGTAACTTGAAATGAATCAAATCTAATTTGTATAAAACCTTTGGCTTTATTATTTATTGAACAACGAAACAATCTCTTCGTGAGGATCTTTGTGAAGAATTTTATAAAGAAGAATCCACATGTCATCAAAATTCAATGACACGCATTGTCAATGTCAGGTACTGTGTAGCCTAGTACTAACCACTTATTACTAATAGTAGGCCTTACGACGTATCTGGAAGCTAACCACCAGCAATCCAGTTACTTCCCAATGGAATGTGTCATGTAACAAGCAATATCTGCGGTTTGAACACTGAAACATAAGATCAGTGTCAATCTATTGCCTTGGGCAATTGTGGGGCGTTTGGTTTTCTTGCCAGCCAACCACCACCTCCGGCCAGTTTTGGTGTATGCTATGAATTTCCACTCGCAGAAAATCACAATTGCTTATATTTTCTACTCGCAGTTTCTCAATATCGACACGCATTTTGCGAGTTAGCAATAGGGAAATTCGAGCCCTGATATCGCATATTTTCCTATTACCTACCTATATGCATGTCACATTCAGTTCCATCACATGTGCGACATGTGCTCTCAACAACCACTTCGAAATCACCCCTAGTTTGTTACTTTATATAATGACTGCATTCAGCGATCACACTAAGAACAACCCACCGTTGCTAAGTATTGATGTAATGTAGAATTAAATACAATTCCGCGCGACAGATTGTTAATAAAGCCTTCTAATTAAAAGGCAGTCAGACGTTTCTTTGGCACACCTCGTAAGAATTTTGTCATGCGTCGTTCACGTCCATATCTACTGTGGGTACTGACAATATTGGGTACACCAATATACATCAAATATAGTAACTTAATCAATAAATACTTGTAATGATCTCAAAATATTAATTAAATTGAAGATATCTCTAAAAAA